TAACGTATCACACGCCACGAGGCGAACGGAGATTATTTAATCGCATTAGAAATTTTATTACTCTTAAGTGCTTTAACGGTTTTTTTTCTGAAAGATTAATGCGATTACGTAGTGAGAAGCGCGCCAGTTGTTTTCATTGCAAACAAACAAACGTGGGCGCATCGCGTGTAACACCGGCGAGATACGAGATTGTTAATCGCAATTGGTTTGAGGCGCAATGATCCTGCTTTTCTAGGAAAATCTGAGATAATTACTGATTAATTCAATTAATTTTTCTCACGGGATCATCTTTATGCCAGAGTCCTCAAATTCTCACTCAGAACGAAAGAAATATAAAAATCCATAACAAGTTCTCAAATCAAATTAGAATTCTACTTTTTGTATATCAAGGGAGGTCCGATCGCATCGCAGGATCGTCCACGAAGATGGATAAATATGAACGGAAAATTTAATGAAATTTCGTTTTAATGAATTCTCATCTTTACACACCGATTTATTAACTGACCGACTTTCTGTTATGTTAGAAAATAGAATAGCAGAGCCGCAAATAAACCGACGATTACAGCGACGATCCAATGGGACCGGCGTCCTTATCATCAGCGAGCGAGGAGGATTACTCCAGCAATTACGCGCTTACCTCGTTTGAGGGGCGCGACATGCATGACTCTTGGAGGGACCGATAAGAAGGGCGGATCGTGAGACCGCCTCTCATGACACCACGCCGCTACTTTTCGAGTGCAACCACCGCCGTTCGCGCCTTACGCAGCTGCTGTCCTTCTTTGTCCTGGTCCACTCGCACCCCTTCTACCTCCCCCGTCGACCTCTGTCCTTCCACTTCCGGGACCGGTCCCCGCGCTGTCTTTCTGTCGTCGCTCTTCTCAGGGTGCACTCGCTTCCTTTCTCCCTGTCGCGCTCTACCTTCCGTTCTCTCGTGAGCTCTCCTCTCGTCTCTCGTCTTCGCGACGACACTTCAATCGGGCCGCCGGATTCACTTATTCGCGATATATCGCTTCTCTCTCCCGGTTTTCTCTCTCTCTCTCTTTTTTTTTTTTTAAATATCGTTGATGCTTCTGCCAGAGTAGGATTCCACAACGCTCCCTCACCGAGCTTTCGCGCTTTACTGGGCGTTCGTCGGAGGTCGGAGCCGTCGGAGGCGAGGTCTACCAAAGCCACCGCTGCCGAGGGAGCGGAGAGACGCGAGGGTGAAGCGTGGAACCGGCGCGGTGCGGCGCAGCGCGGCGCGGCGCAGCACGGCGCGACGAGACGCGCGCGTCGCGTCGCGTCGGAGAATTTCGCTCGATATCGACGGCGGAGCGACGCCACCGTGAATCCTTATTCCGAAATGGTGCGTAGCATCCATTAGTTATCCCGCGTTCATCACGCGGCTCCTGCATGCGGGAGTCACGCAGGACGTCTGATCGCCGGCGGTTAATTTCAATGCTACTATTGCCATTTCGTTGAACTCGTATTCTGCATTCGGGGTCGGATGAATGCTTGCGTATACGACTTTTGCAACGAAATCTTTATTTACCAATGAATAAATATTACTTTTTAATAATATATAAATAATATATTATACTAAAAAAATTATTTTAATTAACAATTTAATCAATTTTGATGTTAATATATTTTTATTTTCTATACAGAATGAACGTTTTGCTGAAGCATCTAAAAATTTAGCTAAATGTAGATTAAAAAATAATTTTATCGGATTATTATCAAAACTAATTACGTAAAATGCTCGATATTAGTTAAGATAAATTTTTTTTGTAACATGGCTTATCACGTTTGAATTTTTTTACTAATTACTTTAATAGTCCAATAAAAATATTTTTTTTTTTAGAACTGTTATTTAGCTAAATTTTTAAATAAATAGCAAAATTAGTCTTTTCGAATGCGGAACTACGCATCTATTTAAGAATGTTACAATCGAATAATTTTAGTAAATACTTAGGCCGATATTCATAGCCGATTCTTACTTCAAGATCGTTTTAAGTAACGTCTTAAAAGAAAAATAAGGAAGATGTTAATATCGCAAGTGATTGATTTATGACATCTCTTAATAATGTACTTAAAATAATTTTAAATATAAAAATTGATTGTAAGTACTGGCTTTAATCTTTTAAAATATTAAATCTCAGAATCATTCTAGGCTAAAAAATCATCGTATTAAATATTTCTAAATTTTATTTAATATTATAATATTATCGTATGAACATATTTTTATTAATTTAAATTTTACAACTTATATGCGCTATTTATCAAATTTTTAGAGACCTATTATACACTTATTGGTAAATTATAGAAAAAATAATAAATATATATGTGATTACAAATTCATTATACTCATTATAAAACATATTTTCAATGCAGCCATTTTATCTCTTCATGAATGATTCAGTTAACACAGTCTTCTCGATTAATCAGCTACAATGTATTAATATTAGCAAATAAGATTGCATTTCATACAATTTGATGAAAGATCAAATTACTTTTATTAGCTTTTTTCCTCTCGTAGTCGCCTTTTATCGTTTAAGGATTTAAGGACCGAGTTTACTTCTTTATTCCGTGGAATCTTGTTTTCTAAGGAATTAAATTAATTTATTTCGTCAATTCAGAGAATGTCGCGTATAAACGCTACATGTACATATGCATATATATACTATGTGTATAAATGTATACATATAAATATATAAATGCGCGTTATTTGTATCTTATTATATAGTACACATTATCTATCTCCTTCTCTTTTGCAAAGAGATTCTAGGCCAGAAAATGCATTATTTGGTTTATAGAAAACAATAGTACGCGACGTACATTCGTACAACAATTGTTCATCAATACATATGTATACATATATATATATATAGTTGTAACAAGTAAATAACATGAAAAAGAGGCTCGGAATGTTTTAATATCCACTGATAAAGTTGCGATAGATGATGGTGGCAAGCACCCCAAGGGCGATTGGAATCAACCAGGACCACCAAGAACTGCAATTGCCAATCATCACATCACGATGCAGCATCGACTATTTACATATGATGATTCACATTTACACACGATTCTTATAAAAAGAAGCAGGCTCTCTGCCTGGCTTTAAATGCAGAAAGTATAAACACATTCACATTTAATTTTATATTCGTGTAAGTGTTAAAATTAAACTGATGTATTTTGTCTATATACTTAATATATATTTAGTAAAATAAAAAAAAAATTTTTTTTAACAAGAAGAAAGAATTAATACATTATTGAGGGCAATCTACTTAGAGATACAAGTTTCAATGTATTTAATTGACCAATCGTAGAATTTTTTTTACTAATTGATCAATCAAAGAATGGTTTAAAGCATTTACAGTATCAAGTGCATCATAGCTTCAATCATTTATATTAAAACGCTATATAGTTTTAAAAAATCATAAAAAATTAAATAAAAAAAGTTTTTGCCAAATATAAAACTTTTTAACATACTGTATAACATTACCCTTGTAAATAAAGTATTAGCATTGCTGAAACTACTTTCAAAGTATAGAATTTAATTAAATAAGAAAGTATAAATAGTTTGTAGAATGTGTAATGAATGAGCTAATTAAAACTTTACTGATAAGACAACAGTATCTCGGCGCAGCGCGGCGCGGCGCAGCACGGCGCAACGAGACGCGCGCGTCGCGTCGCGTCGGAGAATTTCGCTCGATATCGACGGCGGAGCGACGCCACCGTGAATCCTTATTCCGAAATGGTGCGTAGCATCCATTAGTTATCCCGCGTTCATCACGCGGCTCCTGCATGCGGGAGTCACGCAGGACGTCTGATCGCCGGCGGTTAATTTCAATGCTACTATTGCCATTTCGTTGAACTCGTATTCTGCATTCGGGGTCGGATGAATGCTTGCGTATACGACTTTTGCAACGAAATCTTTATTTACCAATGAATAAATATTACTTTTTAATAATATATAAATAATATATTATACTAAAAAAATTATTTTAATTAACAATTTAATCAATTTTGATGTTAATATATTTTTATTTTCTATACAGAATGAACGTTTTGCTGAAGCATCTAAAAATTTAGCTAAATGTAGATTAAAAAATAATTTTATCGGATTATTATCAAAACTAATTACGTAAAATGCTCGATATTAGTTAAGATAAATTTTTTTTGTAACATGGCTTATCACGTTTGAATTTTTTTACTAATTACTTTAATAGTCCAATAAAAATATTTTTTTTTTTAGAACTGTTATTTAGCTAAATTTTTAAATAAATAGCAAAATTAGTCTTTTCGAATGCGGAACTACGCATCTATTTAAGAATGTTACAATCGAATAATTTTAGTAAATACTTAGGCCGATATTCATAGCCGATTCTTACTTCAAGATCGTTTTAAGTAACGTCTTAAAAGAAAAATAAGGAAGATGTTAATATCGCAAGTGATTGATTTATGACATCTCTTAATAATGTACTTAAAATAATTTTAAATATAAAAATTGATTGTAAGTACTGGCTTTAATCTTTTAAAATATTAAATCTCAGAATCATTCTAGGCTAAAAAATCATCGTATTAAATATTTCTAAATTTTATTTAATATTATAATATTATCGTATGAACATATTTTTATTAATTTAAATTTTACAACTTATATGCGCTATTTATCAAATTTTTAGAGACCTATTATACACTTATTGGTAAATTATAGAAAAAATAATAAATATATATGTGATTACAAATTCATTATACTCATTATAAAACATATTTTCAATGCAGCCATTTTATCTCTTCATGAATGATTCAGTTAACACAGTCTTCTCGATTAATCAGCTACAATGTATTAATATTAGCAAATAAGATTGCATTTCATACAATTTGATGAAAGATCAAATTACTTTTATTAGCTTTTTTCCTCTCGTAGTCGCCTTTTATCGTTTAAGGATTTAAGGACCGAGTTTACTTCTTTATTCCGTGGAATCTTGTTTTCTAAGGAATTAAATTAATTTATTTCGTCAATTCAGAGAATGTCGCGTATAAACGCTACATGTACATATGCATATATATACTATGTGTATAAATGTATACATATAAATATATAAATGCGCGTTATTTGTATCTTATTATATAGTACACATTATCTATCTCCTTCTCTTTTGCAAAGAGATTCTAGGCCAGAAAATGCATTATTTGGTTTATAGAAAACAATAGTACGCGACGTACATTCGTACAACAATTGTTCATCAATACATATGTATACATATATATATATATAGTTGTAACAAGTAAATAACATGAAAAAGAGGCTCGGAATGTTTTAATATCCACTGATAAAGTTGCGATAGATGATGGTGGCAAGCACCCCAAGGGCGATTGGAATCAACCAGGACCACCAAGAACTGCAATTGCCAATCATCACATCACGATGCAGCATCGACTATTTACATATGATGATTCACATTTACACACGATTCTTATAAAAAGAAGCAGGCTCTCTGCCTGGCTTTAAATGCAGAAAGTATAAACACATTCACATTTAATTTTATATTCGTGTAAGTGTTAAAATTAAACTGATGTATTTTGTCTATATACTTAATATATATTTAGTAAAATAAAAAAAAAATTTTTTTTAACAAGAAGAAAGAATTAATACATTATTGAGGGCAATCTACTTAGAGATACAAGTTTCAATGTATTTAATTGACCAATCGTAGAATTTTTTTTACTAATTGATCAATCAAAGAATGGTTTAAAGCATTTACAGTATCAAGTGCATCATAGCTTCAATCATTTATATTAAAACGCTATATAGTTTTAAAAAATCATAAAAAATTAAATAAAAAAAGTTTTTGCCAAATATAAAACTTTTTAACATACTGTATAACATTACCCTTGTAAATAAAGTATTAGCATTGCTGAAACTACTTTCAAAGTATAGAATTTAATTAAATAAGAAAGTATAAATAGTTTGTAGAATGTGTAATGAATGAGCTAATTAAAACTTTACTGATAAGACAACAGTATCAATTCTTATAATCATAATACATTTGCATAATGCAAGTGCAAAAATATCTGAATTATAGATAACATTAGATAAAGTATTGTTCATTACATCACCTTTAATTAAAAAGAATTTCTGTATTCATACCATCTCTGCATAATAATTAAAATTAAAAATTAAGAAGAAAGAAGAGTTATTCTTGTTAATAGAAAATTTAGTAATGTTTATGAAATATTGTATTAAGGTGATGCTGGACCCGCCTGTATTATCGATAAGAAGAGGTTTGACAGAAACAAAAACGTCAAAAACGCTTGTTTTATCAATAATACAGACGGGTCCAGTATCACCTTAAAAAAAAGATTTTTAAAACAATGAAAAATATTCAAAAATATTAAAACGCGATAAAGATATAATAGAATTGTGAGAATGTTAGAATCATCAAATTTTTTAAATACCATGATAAAAAAATGAGAACAATCATACCTAGAACTTTCTTCATTTTCATGAGTCCAATCTTTGGTATTTTTTCCAGAATCTTCCATCCTTTCTTCCTAAAATGCACACAAATAACCAATAATAAAGAAAATGTAAAATACAGCTTGATGTAAAATTAATTCTTACTTCTACCAACTCTCCAATTTTATACGATTCCATCATTTGTCTAGCATCGGTTGAATGTCCAATATCTTCGAACGCTTCTGTAGCATCCCGTCCGCTTTGTTCCAGGAGTACTTCCTCACCACCAGGATGCTATTAAAGAAAATCAATACATCAAAATAGTTTTAATAGAAACAGTAAATTTAAAAAATATATTTCAATAAAAAAAATACAAAGATTGAGATTGTAATTAATTAGTTTAAGTTAATTTTTTGTGAGAGAGGAAGAACTGCAACCTCATTGAGAAACGAGGTGACATTGTAGACATTATTATGAATAATGATCCATGTATCTTTAACATTCTTTTCCACTTCTTCTCGCGTGAAGAGTTTGCCAGGTGATGTGGCAGTGGCGGTGTTGCTTTTACGATTCTTAGTTGCCATCTCAGTGTGTCTTTAGCTTTCCTTTGTTGATAAAACTCGAGATTACTATCTTTTAGCCAACAATTTGCGTCGATTGACTCAGCGCTTTTTCTCTTAAAATTCGTCACCGACGTTCACGTCGAAACATCAACTGGCAGTAACTAACGACTAATAACGTTCGCGGAATGATTCGGGAAGATGGACTTTGATCACCATGTAATCAGCGTTTTTGACAGATTCCAATAATTTTGAATTATCATCAGAGACTGACGCCTGACCGGCCTGACTGGGTTCCTGAAAGAATGAACAGAAACTTGTACGATTTATTCCCCAGTTACTCCAAATTAGTTTACGAAAACACCGTGGCCGTTTGAGGGCAAAACGATCGTGGCCAAATGCAGAGGTGCCAACTGTCAAAATACATATTATTATCAGAGAGAAACCTTAAGGTGGCTTTTCATGCTGACGCTCGACGCTCATTGGGCACATTCAGCGGACTCAACCACAGAAACAGTTGAGTGAGCGCTCGCTATTATTGGTGTATTCTTCCAGATCTACAATTCTGATTGGGTGATCTAAAAGAATACACCAATAACAGCGAGCGTTCACTCAACTCTTGAGTCCGCTGAATGCGTCCATTTTCAGTGTTAAAACAGATCACGTGATAAAAATTGACGAATAGCAAGCGAATATGACGCTTGCTATTCGTTAATTTTTGTCACGTGCACGAACTGTACGTAAGGCCGGAATCAGACTACGCATTGAAAATTGAGATTGAAGATTAAAAATTGAAATTTGACCAATGAGAATAAAATAAATTTTGCTCTTATTATTTTGATTGGCCAAATTTTAATCTTTCAATCTTTAATCTCACTGTTCAATGCATAGTCTGATTCCGGCCTAACGTATAGCATTTCTCTAGCTTATCGTATGCGATACTTTTCAAGAATAGGGGCCCTGTTTTACAATGTCGTATGTCGTGCCGTAAGAAATTAACCAATCATGATCGATTGTTTTCAACTGTGATTGGCCAATTTCTTATAGGCCTTCTACAATAAGCCATTACCTAAGTTTTAAGTATTAAGTCATAAGAAATTGACCACTCACAGTCGATTATTCATCACACATTCGATTGTGATTGGTAAATTTCTTATGATTTAACACTTAAAACTTAAGTATGGCTTATTGTAGAAGGCCCATTACGGTACGACATACGACAACAGCTCCCGACTATTGTAAAACGGGCTTAAGGGAATTAACCAATCCCAATCGTATATTCAACACCGGAGAGGTTATAGGTTAAAATCTTAATTAAGATTTTAACGTATTAAATATCAGTTACATTGTAATACACGGTTTCTGATGTTAAAATTTTAATAATTATTTCTATGTTAATATTTTTTTATTATGCGCAGGCCTTATAGCATATTAGATAGAAGTAGATGAAGAAACATGGTATAATTCTGGAAGGTATTGGAACACTGGAAGGTCTGACTGAAACGTTGAAACTTTGATAAGGGCCATGCATAGTATGGCATACCGTCGAGGGCCTGTGATCAAGGTTGATCTAATGATCTGTAGAAAGGACGATTATAAAAGACAACAAAAATATTCGATAACATGAATCTTGTCGAACGTGTTTTGCTACCTTCACTAATTTTTACATTCCTCTTGTTTGCACGATGCGCACATTGCGCTCTTATAACTTTGAGTATAGCCGGCGCAGTAAGTAGTTTAGGTTATTACGCGTACGAAAAGTACAAATGCCAGTATCAGGAATGCTGCACAGATGAATATATCCCTGCTGACTTAGATGGTAAAATGTGAATCCATTTATATAATTTCTTCTTATAAAAAAATTTAGATTCGTGTAGTCAGTTAAATAGAATTGATATTTTCATTCGATAAATAATTTATATATGTGGATTTATTTTTATTAAAAGTGTGTAATTTGGTGCATTTATTTTTTTAAAGATTTCTTAAGCTTGTTGATTATCCCATTAGAGCTTTTATTTAATTATTAATTTATATCAGAAATAATTTAATATCAACTTATATTAGAATATTGTATATTGCTTTATATTTTTTAAATATATTACAGTTTTTGAATATGGCTGAACACTACACCGTGTCTCCTAATAGAATATTTTTCAGATTGTCTAATACCTCTTGTCTAAAATCTAAATCTTGTCTAAATCTATATCTTTTCAATATATACATATATATAGACAAAAATATTACAAAATTATTGAAATTATAGGATTGGAGTATATATTTGCTGCTAACTTATACGGACAACAAATTGCTCATGTAACCATCATAAATGCATTTCGGTGTCACTTGGAAAATCAAAATCCATCTAAAGCATTGGTCATGAGTTTTCATGGCACACCAGGAACAGGTAAAAATTATGTCGCACAGATGATTGCCAAAACTTTTTATAAAAAGGGTGTTGAGAGCAACTATTTTTATTTTTTCAATGGCCGTAATGATTTTCCTCTGCAACAGAAAGTAGACGAGTACAAGGTATACATTCAAATATATATGTAATTTATTGTAATAAAAGAAAATGAATTAATAAATGATTTTTATTTTTGTAGGACGATTTGTATAAAATTATTTTGAATGCTCTGCAAAAATGTGAGAGATCGATGTTTGTGTTCGATGAAGTAGACAAAATGCCAGAGGATCTACTAAATGTATTAGTTCCATTTCTAGATTATAAGGACTATCATAAGTCCATTAAAAGTGGCTTCACATATCAGAACAAAGCTGTTTTTATATTTCTCTCAAACACTGGCAGCACTCAAATAGTGCAGCATCTTACAAATGTATGGATGGCTGGTAAAGGTCGAGAAGACACAAAACTACAGGATTTTGAAAAATTAATAGTTGAGGGAGCATTTAGAGAGAAGGGTGGTTTCCATTATAGTGATACTATACAGACTAGTGTGATCGATCATTATGTACCTTTCCTGCCTCTTGAGGAAATACATGTTAGAAAATGCTTGAAAAAGGTTTTCAAAGACCGAGATATTACTCCGACGGAGGAGATGGTAGAGGAGGTACTGTCACATGTAACTTTTGGCCCTGAACCTTATAATTTGTACTCCATGGCTGGCTGTAAAAGGATAGAACAGAAAGTTGCTACTATTGTATATCGTAAACAAACGGAATCTAAACTTGATCTTTCGGAGTCTTAGTTGAAGCCTTAACTTAAACCTTACTGATTGAAATAATTTAAAATACTGAAATTGTTAATAAAAGTAATAATGGTGAGAAACATTAGCGTGTAAATATTTGTATAACATCTTGATAAGATCCTTTATTGATAGAATTTCTTATTGGCACACTCAGAAAAATATATGTCTAACAATTAAAAAAATAGTAAACTTAATTTTTCGTACTTACAATAAAATATATATATGAAGAGATAAAATATATATATATATATATTTTTGTATCTATATATAGTTGTTCGACATAATTAGCAATATATCTAGTAAAAAGAGAATAATTTCTCAATTTTTTCCGAATAAATTTTTTTATAATTAATTAATTTTGGTGCTTGGAATAATACTATTTTACAGGCATAAATTTGGTGTATTTTTTTAGGCTTAATACCTAAATATTACTATTCTATATCCATTTGGACAGAATTTTGATTGGCACTAATTGAGCTTACTATGAATTAATATTGTTAGGCAGCATTTCTTTCGTAGACTTATAACTTGTTACTCCAAACAACAATCAGAAAAATTTACATATAATTACATTTTATCTAAATATATACAATATTATAAAAGTTAATTAATAGACATCTGTAGGACATCATCAAGAATCATAACATTGAACGTTTGCAAAATGAATGATGATTTTTTGATATTTAATTAACAATGCAAAACAAATCTAATTTATGCAAATATACGTTGCGGATTTAACGATTTTATTCCACAATGAGAAATTGTTCTCTTTGTTTTCTAATTACCGAACACCCTGTATACAATTTGTGTACGCATTTGTTCGCAATTTAAATATAACTAGAAATACTTATTAATTGTACAGATAGGGTTATGTACAATTAATATCTGGCAATTGACTCTGAAATTTAATCATAAAGAACAAAGTTATCGGCAAGATATCGACTGTCATATGCCCATAAAAAATAAAAAGAGGATTGATAGCAGATACATCTTTCAGACGAAAAATTCACTTTTTATTAAAGTTGAAATGGAGAATTATGTTAATTCTTTGTATAATGTTTATCTTCTTTTAATTTTCTTTAAGAAAAATTCAATTCTCAAAGAAAACAATCAAATTTCTATTTTCTAGGGCATTTTGTAGGCACTCATATTTTTCTAAATCACATGTATTTTCGGACAAACAACTTTAGTCTTTATGATCTCATCGCCTAACGATAATCAGGAATGCCGTCGCAGTAAAATATATATATAAAATATATATATATATTTACGCAATTATTATCTTTTATAATTCTATACACGTAGCTAAAAATATTTTTCTAAGTTGTCTAAGTGAAGCGCCGGATATACATCGACATTATGCGTTTGAATCTCGTTAAACACACAATAGAACAGTAGCATCAAAGTTGCGCGTGTGCTATGCAAGTTGTGCATATATTTACCTATATTTTTTATACAACGCAAAAATGCCTCGTGAATAAACTCGTCTTCTTATCCTTTTCTACTGAGGTATGCGTCGATATCAAGATTGCAATGTAAAATGATTACCACGATGTTTATTAGCCATCAAACAGTCAACAAATTAGATCGTTGCATATAAAATGTCGGTTCTATAGCTCCAAAAATTATATAAAAAAAGATTAATATGATTTAAATCATACCTAATTTTGTATATTGTAGGTAGCAATTTATTTTTTACATTTTATCCTCTGTTTGATGTTTAAATAAACTGAGGCAAACTTAATTCTTCATGTAAGGTTTAATTAATAAACCCTACGTTATCCAGGAGATTGACGTGTCTAAGTGTACAATTTTTATCGTATAAGTTTATCGAGATAAGTGTCACATGATCTCAAAAAAAATTAAATATATATGTATATCCTATAGAAACATTTTAGAAATTTTTACCAATTTATATAAAACTTGATAATTTAAATCTACACAAGAATGCAGTTTTGTAAAAGAATTGTATTAATATTTTGTCAAAATGTATAATAATCAACGATCATACACAAAAGGCATCTAATCGGGACTTAGAAATCAGATATGTTATATGCAACGACATAATACCTTTAATATATCTTTAATATATATAGTCCTATTCCTCCTCCACATACTCTTTTGGAAAAAATCCTATTTGATCGCCTATTTTACCCTTCCACCATCCTTTAGCATCACCTTCCTTGCTCAGTACCACGACTCGACAACCACGTCGTAAGCTCAATTGATTGCGTTCGCAGCCATGGAAATCGAACAATGCTTTGGCCAAGACACGTCGATAAGGCCATAATAGACGTTGATCTAATTTCTCGAAGTTTTCCGAGAGTGATGCTCGTTCGTAATACTCGACCAATTCAACGACGCTCTTGAAAAATCGGGACTCACTGAGATAGTATAGATCCGCCCCGTCTACATCCCGTTTGAATACTCGGATATGTTTCACCGCCCCTTCCGCTCTGAAAAAATATATTTAATGAAAGGTTTTAGGAAATTTAAGTAAAATAAATAGAGTCTATAAAAAAAAGAACAGAATTTTTACAAACAAATGTTTAACTCAAAATGGTTTTTTATTTCATAGTTGTGTCCAATAAAAAAATTGTACGTTTCTGCTTTATTGAAGCCATCTTTAGCGATATATTTTAAACAATATTTCAAATAAGTTGTAGATGATTTACCTGATAGATACTCCAGGGATATATTAATGCGGAAATAATTATTACAATATAATTATGCCCGTTCCGTGCCGACGCCCGTTGAATCGTCTCTTGTGTTCTCATTTCCGTGTCGCGGGAGCGCGGGCTTGCTCGAATTCGCGAATCGGTCGTGCGGGAGTAACATTTTGGGGGCTCGTCCGGGATTTGAATCCAAAATGTTACGCCCGCACGACCGGTTTCGAAATTCGAAACGGAAACGATCCAACGGGCGTCGGATCGGAACAGGTATAACAATATATATCGCTAAAAGTTTGAATAAAGCCGAAATGTATAATTTTTCTGTTGTGGACACAATTATGAAATAAATATATTCTTTATTGAAAATTTTTTGTGCACTAATTATCGTGCTGTTACTCAATTGTTTTTTACTTTATTATTTTAAATATTAAAGGTAAAGTTATTTATAAATAATATATTATATATATATATATTATTAAATATAATATAATAGAAATGAATTATATAATGCATAAAAAACTAAAGTTAAATTTTCCTAAAACAAAGAAATTTTTTGTCGTTCAAACTTACTTGATACTAAGAGCGTAATTGGTTTCATGTTTGAGACGTGGTTGTCCAGTTGGACGAACACGCAACATGTAAGTGCCATCATCGCGGGATTCCAGTTTGTTGGAAGCTGCATCTCTACCCATTTCCCCGACAAACCATAACTTCGCAGCGAGCGCACGTTCGCAGGGTAATGGCGGTGGAGGTGTCGGCGACGTCGGCGTAGGCATGCAACGACCCGAGTGCGCAATGCACTGCTTGTGTACGGCAAGGCGACATGTCTCGCATTTGTAGCCCTATATGATACAATACTCGATTAAAAATTTGTAATTTAAATTTTTTGATATTTTGAAAGAGATCAAGAAATAAAGTTGCAAATTTGGCAAATGTAAATTATGATCATTGATCTATACATTGCTCATTTTTTATAGCTCTAAAGCATTTTGTATAAATCTTAAAAGTTGTGATTCCATATATATATATATATTATATATATGGAATATACATATATATATATATATATATATATATATGGAATCACAACTTTTAAAATTTATACAAAAACTTTATATATATGTTATGTGCTAATTATTACCTGGAATATACGGCCTTTAAGGAATTTTCCACAACGTTGACAACTTTTAGGAGTGTCAAATGTCGTCAACTTAAATTTATGATTGGTATTCCGACAGGCTGCAGGATTAACGTTATCCATCGCGTCCTGTAATGCCTTTATCCACATCTGCTTTTGCTCCTCTGTTCTCGCATATAAAGTATATGCCGTGTATGCTTGTTTATGTACAAGTAGCCACTGATAGGACCAACGCGAATCTCTGCCCAAAGTTCGACGTCCTATGTGATCTTCTAATCTATAGTCATCTAATCGTAGAGTCTCCCGGTAGCAGTATTGGTCTCCTCTGCCAGCTTTGCAAATCAATACCACTTGCTCGAATACGAATGCATAGCGGGCCTTAATTCGTTGGTCGCCATGAGCTTTCACCTGCAGAAAAATTGAATTAGTCATGATCCCATATTAGGTATATTTTTTATTCATACACTAAACTGCACTGGTACTCTTACTTTTGTCAAATATTAAATATATACCTATGTTATTTTAAATTCCAAAAATATAAACTAGCTCAGCCACAAATTGCAATGTTTCCATGGAAACTAACAAACTAAATGTACATATTTTTGTGTGAAATTAGGGCATTTGATAGTAAGAACGCTATAATTATAGCGTAAGCACTATGACTTCTTCTTTATTATAAAAATAATATATATAAATAAATTGTATGTTTTGACTCTCTATTTTGAGTCTTCTTTAGCGAGATGAGTAGAACAATGAATATATAGTAGTCACCTCCTCCTAAATAAAAGTCACTTCTGAATTGGTAGATCCAAAGTGAAATTGGCAGATTAATGCTGCATATATTTCTCACAAAAGTATAGATATAATTTTTCTCAAAATTTTCAGAATTTTTATGTAAATTACATAATTTCTGTATACATATAATCATAAATTTAAAAAAAAAATTATTAGATTTTTCATTACACAAGTCTTAAAATAATTCATAATTAAAATATACGAAAAATTTTGAAAAAAATATTAATTTTTTAATATTTCTGAAGAATATTCCAATTAGATTATTCTAATTTTTATAAATTTTTATAAGTTGAGAATAATTTTCAACATAGGAATTAATTAATTTTGATCTCTTATATTTAATTAACAACTTAATTATTATATATATATATATATATATATAATACATAAACATGTATTAATACTCACTGGTTTTCTAACTCATGCTTCAATTAATTCCTCTGCGTTCATTTTTTATAAATTAGAAATAATTTGTATGGATGAATATATAAATGTAACGCATAATGTACAATATAGGTTAGATTCAACTCTTTTAACGATATTATTTCTCTTAACAATATCTTCTTAGTTGTTGTTAAGTTTACGACAAAGTCGCCATTTTGTACTTAATGAATGATAGTTAGTACTTATAAATAGGAAAAGTAGTTTACTAATGACAATCGTTTAATAACGACATTGTTAAGGCTTATAGAATAGGGCCCTTATATATTTTTGTTTAATAATTAGGCAAACCTTGAGCTCGCCGTCACGAAGTAATCGGCCGAAATCCTTCAGCTGTGCATCTTCAGGGACATCCCAGTCAATTATCGATGCTTGGATGTCTTTTATGATATCCAGCGTGTCAGAATCGCGTTTTACTTCATTTATATATTGAGCAACATCGACCATCACTTCCCTCGCCTTTGTCAATGCACAGAAATCCTCTAGCCACTCGCGAGGAGTTTCTTCTACCAACTTATCCAATAGCAAGTGATACTTCAGCACCCTTTGCATTGGCACAGATAGTATATCGCTCAGCTTAAATTTATTACTGTTAGCTTCTTGTTCACATCTCTGCAATAAATATCATAGTTAAAATAGTGGCAATGTATTACTCTCTTTAATATTAAATAAATTTGGCGAAATAAATATTGACTTTTTTTCTTTCTAAAAAGACTGAATGCAAAATTGTAGAGCTTTTAATTTTCGTTTAGTCCAATGATTTCACAACTTGTACTATGAAACTTACGATAACTTCTTGATTGATTACTTCATTACGCGCGCAGGCTTCCTGCAGAGTATATTGTGCTAAGGTGAGATTTGCGCAGTAGTCGCCGTAAATGAGGAACTTCTCCCGCCAGTCGAGGAAAACTTGGGCGATCGCGGCGCTGTTTCGAGCCTTACGTAGCTGACTGTGGAAACCCACATGGATCTCTGAGAGTTGCTTGATACCGAAGAAGATGCGGGCGGAATCTTCGGGTCGGAGTAACGACGACAATGGTCGGACAAATTGTCTAAGTAGATTACTGAGAACCTCTGTATAATTTCGCTCAGTTTCCACGAGCTCCTGGATCACATAATCTCTTTTCTCTCCTCCAGAAATGGCACTACTCTGTTGCACGGAAATTATTATGATGAATAAAAAGTGTTTTTGTGCAAATTATAAAGTAGTATGCAAGGTGTAAAGCGGAGCACATAGTGAAGAACAAAATTAATCATATAAAAATGCGCTAATAATAAATGAGAATTCACTTTCCTCTGGACTTAACATTGAGATTAAATACTGAATACATTCATATAATATTTTTATATTTTAATACAGGATCTCTCTGATTAATTGCGTCTTCTTCAAGTAACTCAAATAATCGAAAGGAAAGTTTGGGGATATTTTATAACATAAAAAAATAATAGACACAAGGACAAACAATGATGACCTGCGCAACTGATGGAGGAGGTGGTAAATGTAGACTACAAAGGTCCTGGTAGATCTCCTCACTCTGCGCGTGGCTGCAAAAAGCTCCATACCCATCTTCCTCGCCGACAGGATCCTCATTATCACCTCCGCCGCTTGTCTCGTCGCCTTCTCGTCTCCTAAACCTCCTGCGACGACCTTCATCTTCGCGGCTTTAGCATAAAAACACAAAAAAAAATACAGCCATGCACTATGACATGCATACTGACGGGAATTGCTAAGTTCTCGGCAAAAATCAAATCATAATACAGCACAATTATAGGATCTGCCACTGATGACAATTGCGATTTATTTTCAATCTGAAGAATGAAACAGTGCCACCATTGTATCACGTTGACAGTATATCTACATAATTTAATGCAGAGTTGACAACGTTACCTCATAAAAATAACTCGTTACCGTTATCGTTACTCAAAATATAACGAATCGTTACTTTTTCGTTACTTTTTTTTCTTGACACTAATATAATATTATGTGCAGATTTTTTTGATAAATGTAAAAAACATTAAAATTCTATTTTTTAGTAGAAGAATAGAACTAAAAAATGTGTGTGTATATATATATATATAATATATATACACAATATGTATATAGGTACATATAATTATAATTATATACATACAATATATAATATTATATATATTCATATTAGGATAGAATCTCACGTGATCTCACTGGTCTCATCACTACAGTCTACAGGCTATATATTAGCCTATAGGTGCGTTCCGTTTCACGCATAGTGCGTATGATACATCATTTTATCCTTACTGTTCACTGAATATTAAAGAAAGATAAAATGATACATCATGCGCATTATGCGTGAAACGGAATGCAGCCTATAAGTGTAAAAACTGTGAATACAATGTGAAAAAAGGCGACGTGATTACGTGATTAATAGAGCCAATCAAACCTATTTCTTTAACGTCGCACCTCTGTTCTCTACAGCTCTAGTTACGACAAAAACTTTTACGTTACTAGAAATAAAGTAACGATAAAAGTAATGAAATCGTTATCATTACTCTAAAAATGTAACTGCTTTACAATGAACTATTACTGTTACTCCGAAGAAAATGTAACGTCGTTACCTATTCGTTACCGAAAAAAGTAACTTGTAACGGTAACGACGTTACAAATAATGCGTTACTTGTCACCCTGTTTTAATACATCAACACGTTATTTAATGGTATACAATATTCATGTATGTGTATACATATTTCAGAAGAAAATATTACTTCAAATTATTGTGCTTCATAAAGCACAAAAAAGATTCTGAAATAGAGCCTCTTTCACACAAAAATATCCATCTATATCAAAAATATACCATGCATAATAAAAATCCATCTATATCATGCATAATACAAATTTTCAATATTAAAAAAGTCTTTTTTATAATAAATATAATTTATAATTAATATTTCCTAGAATAATAAATTTGTATAAATGAAACAAAGCTGGGGCAAATTTGAGTCAAAACTCAACTATCAAGCAATAGGTTTTAAATCACAGCATAACATTTTGTTTATATAAGAATAATTTATGCTTTGGATCATTTACTATTTATAGATTGGAGAGGCTGCATTTGAGAAAGAAGGATACAATGATGGCCGATATTCTTTCAATAAAAAATGTTCTTAAGATTGTTAAGCCGTAAAATGGCATATACCTTCTCCGTAGAAGGCCAGTTACGATGAGAATTACTCGAGAAGTAGAGCAATTCCTCATAAACCCGAGACTCATCTACGTCCACAGTCCTAGTTTTTAACGCCACGTATCCATTTGTGGCACTAAATCAATTAACATAAAAGTTAACCAAACTCTCTGCTATTATTTTTTGAAAGCCGAATAATGTAATTACTTCTTTTATCGATCATTATATTTAAAAAAAGAAAAATATATATATCTCTATATAACGTGAATGGAAAGAGAAGTTTTATTTAAAAAAAAAGAGACAAATTTTAACCTTTTTAAAGTCAAGATATAACATTTCTTGACATTTAATATTCAACGAATTGTATATAAATTAATAAGTTACAAAAATGTAACTTAATAATGGACTCTTACCCTGCTCCAGCACTTTGTAAATCCTTATAAATATCCTCTTGCGATCTTCCATGACCAACGGAGAATCCACTGTAAAAAAATATTTATTTCTTTATTATTAATTCTTATTTACCTTATAATTATTAATCTATTTATGTTATTTTGATTGAGACAAACTGATGGTAATCAAATTTTAATATGAATTAATGCATTGATACTTACGGTATACCCTTTCGCCTCAGTCTTGGACAATTGGACAAGGCGGAGAGTGTGCAGAGAACGCGATGGAAGTTAGAAAGGTCAAATAGCATCGATGGTTCAAAGAGTTCCGAATCAGAGAGACTAAAGACATTCGAACACGCTGATAAAAATACTTTTATATTACGCAAGCATAGAAATTGTGCCAATTGTGGCTTTTGATTCACGTCTTTCATATCTATGCATCCCGGATCTACAATGTTCAATAGATTGCACAGCAATACACCATCCCGTAATGTATAGGCCAGGTCGAATGCAGTCGCCTGTGGCCAATTGGCTTTGTGATCTGCTCGTAGTGCACCACATCTGATCAGCCATCTGGCAGATTCATGCCAGGCCTTATTAGCATCCACACTGTCTGTCCTATACATTTTGATACTTCTTTGTTCAACGGTTAGGACATTGAAGGCACACAGTTATAATTTTGTTCAATGGTTAGGACATTGAAGGCACAGTTATAATTTTGCAGATATTTCATGCATTAGATTCCATGGTTCCATTCATCAGGCTGCTATCCTATTAAATACAAAAATATCTAGGATTAAATAGATATAATTATTACAAAAAGTATATATAAATTCTTCAGCATTTATTATATTATAAAAAATTAATTATTAAAAGATAATGAGATTGAGAAGTTAAACAAATTAAGATTACAAGTACTAGTATGAGATATTTTTATGATAAGTACTTATAATATGTGATACTCTTTCATAAAAATTCTAAATAACTACTAATATAAAAGTTATTATAAAATACATCGAATATTATAATGTAACACACAAAACATTTTTTTATACATGCACACATACACATGTGCTTTGTTATTCATTGCAATAATTGTAATATTAATTATATCCTATATTACATATAAATACAATAATATGTTCATATTACGGACGGTACAATAACACTTCTTAAGAAAGCATGTGTCAATAAAGTTTTATCTTTATTATAAAAGCTATATTCACGTATAGGTATTACGAAAAAAACGTTCGCGTAAAAGAATGTTCCTACAGAGTGAGTCTCCGTTAGAGAGATCAATCTGTGAGATTAATATCGCGTGTACCGTGCGTGATCTTTATCGTCTCTCAATCTCGGTTATTGCAAGTGGACTGACCGACAATTCCAAGCCGAGCATCTCTCGAGCCATGGAAGTGATGGAAGGGCTCTTCGGGACACTGAAACGGAAGTCATCGCGCAGCTTGTTATTCTCTGACGGAGCCAACGATATACTCAGTCAGTGCGATCCGTTGTAGAGGCGCTCGTGGATTCGCTCCGCGGATGGTATCATCGGAGCTATCGCGCCATCCCTTCTCCTACGAGAAGGGAGAAAGACCACACGGACGTAAATGGAGAAACGAACGAAAGGCGGTGAGAATACACGCGGAACCTTTCGAATCCCTTGGAGAGTCCTTAGAAATTGGAGTTACTGCACGCCGCGCGTCACTCGGTCATTTTCACCGCGACACTTGTCGTGACGTTCACACTGCGTTACCTCCGCACGATGAATTCGCGTCCGCCATACCACACACCACCACAGTAACCACTGCACGAATTGATCGTGACCGACGAATATCGCTACTCCAGTGTTCAGTCCGAGCAGTGCCAAGCGGCGAATCACAGAGAACACTGGGTATCCCACAGGAGTCAGGACCGGCCACATGCGTTCCGGAGCCTTGCGCGTGCACCGGATGTCGCGATGCAACCGGATGCACATCTTTTCAGTTTTATCGCGCCGAATTTTCACTACTTCGATTTTTGCTCGACGAAAATGAACAAGCAGAATATATTGTGTTTGTGCTCGAATAAAAATGTACGGATTAAACGAAAATATAAAAAAAATCTAGATTTTTAATTTAATAAAATTCACTTAACAAAATTTTTATATTTTCATATATTTTATATGTATATATATTTTAAAGATTATTAGCATTTGTTTATGTAATTTAAATATACTACATGAATTTTAATTTGTTTTTCTAAATACAATACCTATGTAATTGTATTCTTTTGTACACGATAAGTTTCAGTAACTTCAATCGAACTCTGATTAATTTAACTGGCAGAGTTGTTTATGGTAAAATTTTTGATTATAAAATTCGTAGTCTCAAATCAAACTTTTTACTGTGTTAATAAAAATTAATTATGTTATCTGATAACAAAAGATAATACAGATATTAATTAATTAATTAAAATTTGAATTTAGTAGCTTTAAAGGAGTAAATATTTCTTTATCACTTGAAATTACTTGAGTAACAGTCGATTACTCGAATTTCTTCAATCGATCCTGTAATTTCGCGCTATCAAGTTAAATATAAATATTTTTTTCTCTCTTTTCTTCCACATTTGTTGTTTTATGTATTAATATTTATTATATAAAATATTTATATAATCACGCAGGTTATTAAAATCTTAAAAATAATTTTCAAAAAATGTAACGAGCATAAATATAGAATTAATACAATGAATATATAACATTTATCTTTCAATAAATAATAAGTCAAAATATTATAACAAATTAGAACAGCTTTCAAATTGCATTGAAAATAATACAAGATAGATGGAAGTACAAAATTAAATAAATTATATGTGTACAATATAAATGCATAATGCACAAATTGATAATATTCAATTTCAATATATTCCTTACGTTTTATTTCCTCAAAACTGGTTTTTTCATGATTTACTTTAAACAGCAATACAATAATAACAGTTAATAATGTATACGTAATTATTTTTAATAAATAAATTATAATATATATAAATTGTAAAATAAATAATAAGTAAATAATTTATAATACATACACGCGTGATTTACAATATTATACACAAGTGGAATCTGATTTTTTGTACACTCTGCATATATAATGTTAAAACTATTTTTATCATGCATTACATTTATTTCTCGCAGCAAAGATTTCATGTTTTACTACAGGAATGTACAGTCTGGATGCATGAGACGCATGATCATGTGACGTCTTCATTCTTCATGGTCAGTTTTCTTTCTTATGCCTTCGCGTCTGTGGAGGTTGGAGTTTGCACAAAACACATTTATATTATCTTCGTCACATTCATATTATCAGTGAATACCTGCTGTACAACGGTGTCGGTATCGTTAATCAAAGAAGCAGATTTTAAAAGAGAGGTGAGCATGTTTTTTTAGAGTATGTTCCGCGTATATGATGCACATGATGTATTATTTTATCCTTGATTATTGATTACTGAAATATATTAAAGAACACGATAAAATAAAATCATAATATACATCCCCAGTAAAAAATGGAACGCATTCTTAAATGCACGCATTTCTCTCATTTCGATGTATATATATTAAAGTTTTCACATGGCGCTGCTGTATTCTCAAAGGTCATCATGTGAACATAGGCGCAGATTGCGTGCGGGGGCGATGCTCAGTAACGCTCTGACGTTATCTACGTGTGTAGGCGGCGCGATATCGCTTTGTCTTATTCGAATATTTCAATTTTATTGTAATATATCACAGTCTTTAAAATGTTTAGGTAATTTAGCATTTTTATTAAAAAATGATAATGTGTGAATATTTTTAATGTACTGAGCGTCAAAGATTGTTGACACAAATTATATTGGATTAAATATAGAAGAAAAATTAATTTAATATTAAAAATTTAAGGAAGAAACAAATTTTATTTTTTTCTTGTTAACTCCACATAAACTTCTTATTAAAGAGAGATTTAATAGGATTTTTAATGTTAAATTTTAATATTTTCAAAGATATATCAACAGATCGATAAAATAAACTGTAAAAAATAAATTTTCAGAAATACTTTATTTTTACATAGGTATTTATAAACACAAACAAACTATTTCTATTTATAATTAAATATTAACAAAAATTGTTTTCTTATTCAATTTATATTAATTTTTCATAAAAATATTTATATTATTACGTAATGTAATTTGGAAATATAAATAATTATTTTATAGATTTTGAAAATATTATCCTGTTAAAAATAGCCGAAACCAAAACACTATTATTTCTCATTGTGTGTGTGTGTGTGTGTGTGTGTGTGTGTGTAATGTAACAATGTATTTATCAATATGATCAGTATAATGGTTTTCATAAAAAAATAGAAATAACATTTTTATCAATTCAAGATTTCTATTGTAAATAAATTCTTTAAACAAATTACTTTAATAACAAGAAATAATTAGCTTATTATCATTTTACATACAAATATATACAGTCTTATGTACATTTTGTACAACTGCATTTTTATCAGTATGCAAACAATTAAGAAGTGTTGATGATTGTAAAAGAAACATTATTGTATAATGTAATTATCTTATTAAAATAATAAAATATCTATTATATATGGTATTGTAGCTGTGCTTGTGTAAATTCGTACGTGTTTCAGATGGAGAGTTTCGACAAAAATACGTGACATTTGCTTCATTGAGTCGAAAGTAATGCAAACCGAACTCTTCATTGGATCGATTCTAACTTTCGTTTTGTCGCTACGATATAATTGGTCCGTAAGTATAATAGTATATGTACAGAAGTGTGTTTGTCGATGTATTTTAATTAACACTATTTTATGTCATAACTTATAAATGTCTGCTCGTTCAGAGAGCAGCAGATTACAAATTGGTGCGCTCGTGATCGCTACGGATTTTTCTTCAATTTGCATATCGATAACATAATTTAATGATGTTCTTACTATTGTGCATAAGCATTTTGTTCCTTACATGCAATGCGGAAAATGCTCGGTGTAAAGATGAAAATAATCAAATTGTTGATTGGTGAGTGCCTTTAATATATTATGTATTTTTATGTTTTCACTGCTGGTTGTAAATTATAATAATTTTTCAAGATTTTAATAATTTTTTTAACATGAGGTCAACTGTTTTAAGTCATTACAACTTATAAAAAATTATTTTAGAAGAACCAAAAGTGGAATAAATGCATTTTTGAATATGATTATTTTATATATTATAATATTTTGAATATAATTGTTGCATATGATTTTGTTGCAAAAAATAATTCTTTGTGGTTAAATTAAGAATTTCAAATTCTAGCTACAAACAGCTCTCAATTTTTTTCAAAATTTGATTATAAAACTAAAAATTTTGATGTGCTTGAATTCATTAATCGTAAAATAATAGAACTTAAAAAAAAAAGGAAAAAGTTAAGTATTATAATATTTCAGGACCAATTCATTTTTATTCGAAATGTAAGTAGTATAAATGTATTTCGAATTAAAACCCAATATAAGTTGCTGTGATGGTAAACATGTATAATTCAAATTATATTTATATCTGTATATGAAAAAAGTCAATTGGACCTAGAATATTATAATACTTAATTTTTTTTTTCTTTTCTTTGAGATAAACTATATTACCAAGTGATCAATTAATACGATGACTTCAAAATTTTTATATTTAATATTAATTTTTAAAGAAAAGAGTAAAAAAAAAACTGAAGGGTGTCTAAAGCTGAATATAAGCACAAGAACTATCTCTTTTGCAACAAACCGTATTTCAGCGTGTTTCCATTCATCCCCTTAGATCTAAGGATAAATAAAACAATATGAAGAATATATGCATATATATATATATATAATATATAATTAATAATATTTAATACGTACAAAATTAACACACATTAATTTTGTAATTGTTATAATTATTAAATAATTAAGTTCAAATCAATTCTATTCATTTTCAAACGTTTAATATTAAAAAAAAAAAACTGATATTGAACAAAATATGTTCCAATAACAAAGTAAACAATTATTTTTTTAAACTTATAATGAGTATTAAACAAGAATTATATTTTGTAATGTTTCTGTATTTAGAGTTAATGAACATTATGTTTTAAATATTTTTTTATAATACTGTTTAAAGCACATATAAAGAGAGCATTATAAAAATATTAAAAAACACGCATACATACAATTCTTTGTTCTTAAAAAAAAATCTATCTTTTATCAACTCGGTAACATTAATCTTATTAATGTTACAATGTTGCGTTTATCTAGTAACCATATATTGTGTTTCCGCTTTCCGCTATCGATAACTTTATGAACAATTATCGCAATGTGCAATTTCAGGTATGTGCTTTACAAGTTGCCGAAGATATCAGAAAGCAGCAATCCTGTGATTAGAAATGGAACAGCGTACTTATATATGACCAATAATACTGTTGCTAAAGGTTGGCAGTTATCTACGAAAATAATCAGTGCAAAAAACTCAATACCAGGAATTACTTTAGCATCTTTATACAATGACGTAAGAACAAATAAACCGTAAGGGAAAAGAGGATATAAATAGTGCCGGATTTTTTCACTCGCCTTGCAATGCTAATTTCAAGATTACAAGATATGATTTTTCAATAAAAAGATGCTTTCCTCCTTTAAATATACAAAAAATTTAATCAAAGGTCCCATAGGCTATGTATAAAAGTTAAATTTTCATAAGAACTGAAATCTGCATTTTTTTGTCACTATTTGCCCCACCCTAAGGACAAATAGTGACACTCTACCCAGTGAGAAATGACAATGGAATCGACGTCGATTTGATGATTTCGACGTCGAATCAATTCGATGTCGATTCCATTTTCATTTCTCACTGGGTAAGGGGCAATTAGTGACAATTACATATAATCGTCAAGATGAAAACCGAATAGGAGATAAAAACTGTGTATTATATGATATAATACACAGTTTTTATCTTCTATTCGGTTTTCATATAGTGACAAAACTTATCGGATTAAGTTCTTATCTAACCAAAACGTCAAGATGAAAACCGAATAGGAGATAAAAACTGTGTATTATACGATATAATACAAACTTAATCCGATAAGTTTTGTCATTATATGTACTTAACAGTAAACTGTCATTACTTGCCCCAGGAACTATTTTTTTCTTCATAACTTTATTGAGAAAACCAAATTGATATTATTTACAAATATAGAGATTATATCAAAATATAAATAAAAACATACGATCAGAATAGATTAAATCTCATTCAAAAATTCAGTAATCGAAAAATATAACTTGAAATATCACAAAAAGTTCCAGGTTTTACCTTGTTTCATGAAGGCAAAATTTTCTTCTCTGTTCGACTTCATATAATTTCGCTACATTCTCAAAAGATGATTAGATATTCGTGAATTATCCCCCCCCCCCCCCCGTCATTATTTGCCCCCATCTCTTTAAAAACATATTCATTTACTCAGGTGTGTTTGGCACATAAATCATTTTGTTTGGTACCAATTGTCAGTTACGTTATACATGCACAGTTCTAGTTTTTTAAGTACATGTTTAGATCCATTATTTGCTGTGTAATGAATGATAAAAACGAGTAAATATGATATGTAATCGGCCAAATAAATGATAAAATCAAAATTTTTTCTATTAAATTGATTTTCATTATAAAATAATTTTTTATTCACATTTATAAATTAACTTTTAATTCATTACAATTTATTTATTTTTGAGAATTTTTTCTCTCTAAAGAATATATAGAATTGCAAGAATACACAAAACTTCTATTTTTCAAAATAGAGATTTTATAGTATATATTTTAAAAAATAGAGAAAAAATTATTTTTTATTTTAAAGTGTGTTGTGCATAATATTTATTATCATAATATAACATACATACGTATGTATATAATATTTTACATAATCATACATGTTTAGTCAATTGCATCAGAGACTTTCTGGGTTTTGTACAATGATGATCCGCCTAACAGACCTGTCAATGCAAAATATGGTCATACAAAAGGTGTTGTGATGACGAACAAACAAGAGGGATTCTGGTTAATACATAGCGTTCCGAATTATCCACCTGTACCCAACAGCGGTAACGATACAAAACGAGTACGTATATAAGAGCGTTAAGAGTATACAAAATATTGATATTTTTCTTCATAATAATATTTTCTATAAATACTTTATAATTTTATTAATAGGTGAAATAGCCAAACAAATAAAATATAAAGATATTTATCCTGATTAATGTCGTATTTTTAAAGAATGTCTTTTTCATAAATTTTCTAAAGTCTGTTAAAACTATCAGTCTCTGTCCTTCCTCTGTATTCCTGTATAACATTTCATTACAATCATTAATTTAATAATTATAAAATAATGTTTTAAACATGTGAGTGAAAAATATCATATTTGGTCAAGGCTATGTTCTTCGTATCTAATAATATTTCTAGTAAATTTATACAATTTCTGAGCTAACTATAATAACTATGATAATTTATCGGTCTTGAAACACAGTCAACTGAAGCTGGAGTAATAATTTCACAAATGAATTGACAAACAATTTAATAATATTGATGCTCATAGGCATCTTAAAACCCGTATATAAATAATTTTATTGTGTAAAATATCTTCAGCCGAAAATCGAAATCTCATATTCCGTATAAACATTTTCACCATTCAACAACCGAGGCAGTCATGTGTTACCTGAGCTCATTTAACTTTATTGTGACGATGTTTTATATAATAACATAAGATTTTAGATGTAGATGTTTTGTTTAAATTAAAATAATCTCAGGGACGATTGGATGAAAATTCAACTCTGCAGGGAAACCAATCCGAATATGATTATCCGACATCCGGAATGAATAATGGACAGAGCTTTTTGTGCATTTCCGTGGACGACGATCAATTCGATATTATCGGTAGACAATTGATGTATAATCAAATAATAACATATAGGAAAAACATCCCCGCTACATTTGTCGCGATGTTTCCGATACTTACGGCCGCGGCTAATCAGAAACGTATCAGAGAAGCACCTTTCATCAGCAAAACGATGTTAAAATCATCTGGCGGTGTTGAATTTGTATCATTTGCTAAGAGTGATAAGTGGCAGAAAGGTAAACACTCTGGGCATTTTTGTGTATATAGATATTGCGGAAAATAATTTCAAGTGATGTCTTCAAAGTGAGATACAAAATACAATATTTTGTCTAGCTTGTATAAATCTATACATAAATAATACAAACTTATATATGATTTTTGCATAGAAATATTTTTCTTAGGTCAGTTTTTATATTTAAAATTTGTGTTTCTTTACAAACAATTAAAAAATGTTATAAATCAATCACAGAGCCGCATTAGTATCTTAAACCATTATTTATGATAGTCTTAAAAGAAGAATCGATTATAAATACTAACCTTTATATATATGTATATATTGTTTTGCATACTTGTTAGTAAAATATTGTACATATTTTACATATATAATACTATAAGATGATAAATAATATATCTTTGAAAAAGGATGTCTGTTGAATTTTAAAAGTCTCTCTCTTCATTTTTAATTTAAATCATTTGTTTTATAATTGGTGGAATATATGTATATTTTACATATAATTAACGTATTTCTTACAAAATCTTGTTAATAAGTAATTATAATGTATTCTTTGTGTTAATTTATAGATTTGTACGACGAATTTGTTGCGCCGACGTTAAAAACAGATTTATTTGCCGAAACGTGGTTGAATGGACGAGGTAGACTACCATCAGACTGCGAACAAGTGAAGTAATGTTACATTTTTCATTTTGACCGTTAAATAAATTTTAGTTAAACTCATATATTAAATTAAATTAAATTAAATTAAAAAAATTTTTTTAGAGTTTACAATATCGTATCCATTAATTTGGCATCAGTTAACATCGATTTTAAGAGTAGTCGCGATCATTCTAAGTGGGCTGTGGCTGTTCAAGGTAAAACTAATAAAACCTGGACTTGCATAGGTGATATTAACCGAGCAGTAAGTACATGTCTTGTAGAAAAAAATAACGAATCAAGGTACCTATTATGGAACAAAGTTGGAATGGATTCCGATAGGAATTATTCAGTTATTCTCTAGATTTCTATTGTGTTTTTTAGGGAAAATGGAAAAATTCCGATCGGAATCCTCCATTCCGACTTTGTTCCATAATAGGTACCCTGAGCTGATAAATTAGTTAATTAGTTTATAAACAAGAAAAATTTATTAAACGAACTGTTAAAACAAAAATTAGTTAATATTTTATTGTTTTCCAGGATACTCAATACATACGAGGCGGTGGAACTGTCTGTTTCAATAATCGGAAAGTCTGGAATAATTATCGGAAAGCGGTGAATGATGTGGAGCAATGTCCTAAGCAATATAAAACAATTTTAGTTTAAGGAATTTAATTTGAATCAGAGAATAATAGATGCTAAAAAAATCAAATAATTTTATTCTCTAACTGCATATGTAGTAATGCATTTAGAAGAACAACCGCTCATTATGAGTGCCTAGTGAGCTCTTTTATCTGATTTTAATCTATATTTTAGGATTTTATGGAATATGCCATATGCCAATGAAAGAGTTTATTGAGAGCTCAGTGAATAGTTGTTGTTCTGAACGCGTACATATTATATTCAACACTGTATAATTTAAGTATATTGTAATCATGAATTATAGCGAATAATAACAAAATAATATGAAAAGCAATCAATGTAAAATCGATGTAGAAAATAATATTTTTCTATAGAAAACGAACTGTATATGTTTAAACTAGTAAAATAAATGTAAAGATGCGTTATAAAGATGCATTTTGTATTAATTTCCAAAATCTTATCGACAGTTTCTTGAGATATGTTACCGACGAAATGAAGCTTGTTGATGTAGAATTGTAACATTTCACACGAGAGGTCTCGTCGTCACTAAATGCGATTGAAATATGAAAAATCGATACAAAGTAAAAAAATAAAAATAAATATATGTCAAAAAAATTAATAAAATATTAGAAATGTAATATTGTAATTATTTGAGAGGAACATTATATTTGATTTTAATAAGAGTATATTGTTTTTATATATAAAAGAGTTTTATATATAAAAAAACTTCTATTATTTCTTTAAATACTTACGTAGAATTTAATAAACATATAACAAAAATAGTGCTACAAGTGGTCTATAATATTATTATAATTAGTTTAATAATTGAATAAACACCCGAGTTCAAAATTTTAAGTTTTTGAATAAATATATACGTTTTATACTAAAAATGAAAAAAGAAAAATATGCTATATTCATAACTTCCAATGTTCTGCACATTTTTATTATGCATTAACTACAATCTTGAAGAAAAATGTCCTGTCGGCTCTTCACTACTTTAGAAAAATAAGGAAGAACGAGGAGGGGAGAGATCAGGGTAGTTCTTAAATTGGATTTTATGAAAAGCCGGGGCAAATGGAAGGGGAAGCGATGTTTCTCCTCATCCTCGTACCTCTTTCTTTTCGCAGCTGTGCTTATTGTCTAGTCGAGGAAATTGTAGAGTAACCCGACGGGCCGTTAATGAGAGAGAAAAAGAAAGCTAAGAAGAGGCGGCGAAGGGGAGAGAAATACGATTCGCCCACTAATGAAAACTGTAGGAAATCGAGCGAACTCCGGCCGCCGCTACTTATCGTCCGACAACTTTGGAGTTTCATCCTTGCGATCGGCAGAAATTTTTCCGTCTAAAGTTATCGCACGGACTTTATCCCGCAGCAAGATGGATTTTTGCCTCTAAGCGCTTTACGACTTTCTTCGACCTTAACCGAAAGCTCCGCTGACCGCACCCTCCTCGGTTTCTGCAGTTGCATGGTTGGTGCCTGGTGTTCCAAGTATAAGATGTATTTGAATGGCGTAGAAAATTTATGGTTTCGCTGTCGAATTCCGTTATGTAAAATATTCGAATAAGTTATACTGATTCGAGTTTCTCTAAGCTTCTTTTTCTAGCTCTATTTCTTCCAAATAAAAGAGAACGTTTCGAAGCCAATGACGATTACTTTGATCAATGAGAAATCAGTTCAGAAGGTGTTCTGGTTCTATAAAATTATAATAAATGCTCTTATTTACGAAATTATTTTACGAAAGTAAGGAGCTTAGAGAAATATAATAACATCTCAAGCTGTTTAAAAATTCCGTTCTATACTACAAGATTATTAAAAATAATATTTTAAGAACTCATTTAAATATAATTTTACTCTGTTTGCGAATTTTACTTGCGAATTTTTACTCTGTTTGATTTTAATGTATTGCGATTTGAATTAATTATATTTATAATTTTTAAGAAAACTATTTGGCTCCTTTCTCTTATTTTTAACTAATTTGTTTTATACTTGTTGAGCCTTCTATTAATTTATTTTATTTCACATTTAAATATGTTAATTCATCAATTAATTTCTATTTATTTCCACGGCAACGTTCGCTCGTTGTAATTCGCATTTTTTTTTCTTTCCGATGCACGTAGGCGTACGTGATTCGTAAAACACAGGCGATATATTACGACAACAACGGCGGGTTCTTTCTTGGCTGGTCGAAGTCAACGTGCTGTCTGAATACTGCGAGTATGGACCAACCCAGTCCCGAGGAATCGGCTCGAGCGTTAGTTGCCAGCTGCTGGCTCAGAACCTTCTTAATCCCCTTATCCTGACGACAGCCAGCTTGTTTTTCCGAGTACTAACTAGGAGCTTCCAGATGCCCTCAAAACTTCCTTTCCACCCGCTTTCCGCCTCGACGACTCGTTGTTTTGCCGTTCAACTAACACTCAAACTCGAGACGTTTGCTCCCGCTTAAGCAGACATCGATTAGGCACGAAAGGGATTCAACTATGTCGATGGGATTACTAATTTTCTACCCATGTAATCTATTTCTATGTAGTCTATTTAACACTGTCAATTGCTTTGTTGTTAAATTACTTGGTAAACACTACTTCTCGCAGAGAATGATAGTTGTTGTATAATATTAAAGTTAGAACTCTTCCACTAGTTACTTAACAATTACAACTATAACTTTATGCATAAGCGCATAACAAAGCAACGTGGCAGCAAAGGGCTAGATTTTGAACGTGCGGTTAAGGGTTTCGCGTACTCGGGTCTCGAAATATCGCGCGGCAAGACGACAACGTTGATGACGGGGCAACATTGCGACGTTCTAGCGATATTTCAGCATTAAAGGGTGGTCTGCTCCGCATGCTAAAACCCACTGACTGTGCACCGGCCAAATGTATACGCGCCGGCGTCATATGCATAGACCCATCGTTTTATGTGTTTTGTGCTTAAGTATTCGTGCAACGTGCAAAGTATATCTTAGGGCGTTTTACTTCAACGCGTTATTTCCGATAACTTTCTTTCGCCATTCAAGAAAGGATTCGTTTCGTATGGAAATGTCGGAGCATTTGCAGATAGTTTGCAATACGATTGAGAATTAAGAGTTCAATGACGAATTGAGCACACAGCAATGAAACGAATTACATTTAATTCTTAAGTTAATTTTTTTAAGTGGAATTTAACTGAGTTTTAATCTTACTTACGATGTTAAAGATAAAAATGCGCAGAATAATTTTTTTTACGATAGGATAATAGACCTTTACATTAGCTAAAGCAATGCAAATATGAAGTACTTTGCATATGTATGAATATCATATACCGAATCTACATTTCAGACTATATATAGTTTCTCTCGTAATATAGAATCAAAAAATGATTGTAAATATATTCATCAATTAATAATAAATATTCAAAATATAAAATACAATAATGCATAAAACATTTAATCGATTAACAAATGTCTTTTCACTTTCTTATAGCATCGGTAAAGACTACATATTTAAATAGCTTCCTAGAAATGTATAAAATTTTGCTATTGAACAATTTTAAACGGGAAAATTAAAAAAAAGCTTTATTTTCAAGTTAATTAAACAGTTTCAAAAAAAATTTCTTACTGCTATTTTTCACACGTTTATAAAAAAAAGATCCTTTAGATATATATTTTTGAAATATACTTAGTTTGAAAATATAATTTAGATGTAAGACAAAACCCTTAAATCTCTTTATCTCCGTATTAAAAATAAAAACGTGAAAGAACAGATATGATACGCAATCAGGGGAAAAGGATTTGTAGGGTCAGCTTTGCGTGTACGGGGATATGCATATATTCTATCCACTTGTACGCTTCGTTGAAGCAGAAGGGATATATATATATCGTGATGGATAGCCCTATAATGCAAAGCTTAATATTGCCTTATACGTATTCATACGGTGTGCTAGAGGGTCCGGGTCCTTTTAGGTGGAAACGAGCTTATGTCTCGCGTCCCGCGGATGTAAACGGGATACAGTGAACTCTCTGAAAATTGCGAACAGCTCGACAGATTGGAAAGCTGTGTAAACGAAGGTAACGGCGTATCTCGCTGCAACTCAGATTTGTTTGCCTGTCGATCGCAAAGTGCCATAACCGGTACGATGGCTAATCCACGTTAATTCCGCAATACTAATATAAACACATAAAGTATACGGTATCCCATAGTGTGCACGCTATTAACAGTGCGTTAAATTAGCTACCCGAATTTCCCGATGCCTTATCAAATATTCCGTGCAAAATTACATGGTGCATGGTAACCTAACATTGAATATGTTTTAAATTAAATTTTTATAAAAATAATGCAATAACAAAATCATATATCCAGTCATTAAAACAGTATCCTTCGGTTGTATTTTAACGGAAATTCGATATAAAATGTATAAAAAAAAGAGGTTTCGCTGAGGGGATCATTCTCAATCTGGATTAAAAAATATATTCGGGAAGGGATGTTTTACATATTCGGCTCAGATTTCGTTAAATTCGTTGAACGATATTGCGCGCACGGCCAGGCGTATTCGGTATGCACAAACAAAACGGATCGAGCAACATTAGGAACTACGTCGGACGAAGGGCATAGATGCGTTTAACTTTCGTCCGACCCCTTTCAAGCGAACGTTTCCAGGTAGATGGATGCTCATTATGTAAATTATATGCAATGCGAATGTATGGGTGATGCGACTTGAAGTCATGGCGGCGCTGTATTTCCTCGTGTTTAGGATAAGCGAACCCGTGTATGCGTGCCGGCCCCGTTATGACGCATTACAGCGTCCCGGCGCCAACTTTAGTACAGCCTTATACGTATTCATACCGCAGTACGCCATACCGACGAACTGTCCAGGAATGTCCAGGAAACATCTCTCTTCGTCCGTGCGCCGCGTCGACGGGTATTACGTTTGCGGACTGGGATAAAATGAGCTGCCAAACTTACGCTCTGCACCCCATTTTCCCGCAAACCTCGTTTTACCAATACTGGAATAAACGAGCGAGTGTGTTGGAATTCATACCGCCCCAGCTCGAGCTCTATGCGGTCAGGCAAGGGATGACGCGTTGATGGGACAGTGATGGTCGAGGGCGATTAAAGCATCCTTTCACGAGGTGTATATAAAGCTAATTGTACGACGTGGATATATGACTAAAGCAAGTGAAGAAGTTATTTCCACACATTCCATCTTTTCTGAGATATAATTCCACATCAAAGAGCAGGATGTCAAATATTTAATATCGTCAAAATATATTGTATATATAATTTTCAATATGATGATCGCGTGCGCATCTCTTGAAGTTTAAGATTCGCTCTAGAGGCATAATAGTTATGTTTATTT